GTCTCTCTCTCTCTCTCTCTCTCTCTCTCTCTCTCTCTCTCTCTCTCTCTCTCTCTCAGTGTGTGTTTGTGTTTGTATGCGATGTACCAAGTGACCAAGTGGAAATGATTTGCACTATAATCTTCACAAAGTTGGAATGTCATTTATGGAGAAAGTGAGAAATATTACGTTGTCAACATATGAATTGATCAGACAAAAGAGAGTGAAAAACGGTTTTGCAAATCATTCGAATTTAATATCTATTTTATTTTTTCCGTTTTTGTTGAATTTTTACAATTTCATTACCGCATGGGCAATTTTGAAAACCTCGAGAAATATTCCCTGAAAAAGGTAATAAAAGATAGAAATTATTCAGTGTCCCAAACTATTCAGTACTGAGCTGTATCATTTAGTTCATTCTTTCACGCACATTTTTTCTTTAGGTCTTAATTTTCCTTCTTTTTTTAAAACTACAATTTGTTGTTTAACGGGACATTTCAACACTACAAAAATCAAAATAAAATAAAACAAATATCTCTGATTATTAATAATATCCCTCGACTGAAGCTTCACCCCCCCCCCCATTTGTCACCAACCGAGCCATACAAACCGTGACCAGCCTGTTTTGACATCAGTTTTGACTTCTCGTCTTTCATTATAAAATCAATATCGGAGTGACAAAGTGGCGGGGGAATCAATAAGGCAGTGCTGGCATGTAATGTACAAAAGCCACACGTTAGTTAGAAGGGATACATCTAGGTGTGGGGGAGACTCAGAGCGGCTGTGTTGAACATACACGCGATGTTTGAGAACAGTGGTGAGTGGTTTTTTTTGTGTGTTTGTGTTTTTGTGTGTGTGTGTGCGCGCGCGCGCGCGCGCGCAAGCTATTGTGTTCCCGTGTGGGTGTTAATGGGGCAAATTTGGAAAGAAATGCGTTATCGCTACTTATTGTTTTGAAAGGTAAAAAAAAAGGAAAAGAAAAAAAGAAAAACAAAGAACAAAACAAAATATAAAATCAATGGGCGACAAATGGGGAAAGAAATACATGTATCATTGGTGAAAAAAAAAATACCCGCCCCTGTTACACCGACCAGTAAATGAATTAAGACATCCCCTACTCCTTCCTCGATGCCAAACGTACTGACCGTGATGACTCTATCTATTTTATTCATTTTACAAGTCTGAATCTAAAGGGGTGGAAGCAGTGCCTGGGGAATCTACTTCCTCTATATCTACCGCCAAGGCACAAGAGACCCGAGTTCGATTCCCGAATGGGGAGAACTCTTATCGAGTATCTGGGTATTTCTGCTTGGATGTCGTATCCCTCTCAGCCTGGGTTGGCCCTGACAGACATGGTCGAAGCCTGCATTCTAAATTATTTAAATCGTGTCGATGGGGGATGGGCGGGGGTGTATGTGTTAGTGTGTTCGTGTTTGTATGTATGTGTGTGCGTGCGTGTGTGTATGTATGTAAAAACAACTACATTGTCATTTAAAAAGCTAGATAAACAAAAATATAATATTTCTAAAAATCAATAACCTACAACCAAGCTCCATCGGATCATTCCTCTGAATTCAGCACATTTGGACTTAAGGCCTTATGATATTATTATGTTTCTAACGACAATGCCATTCTCATCCCCAATGGCAGACTGGTAGGGTGGGGTGGAGGAGGGTAAGGGAGGAGAGGGGACAGCTTGGCAGTATGGGGAAATAAGCTGAGGAGGGAGAGAAGAAGGGAGGGAGGATAGGACACGGTTGGGAGGGAGGGGGGAGAGGGTGACAGCCTAGCAGGGTGGGAAATGGGCTGAAAGGGGGGAGGGGAGGAGACGGGGGAGGGAATGATCGGGCTTTTCCCGATCTTATAGAGAACTATGCCGTCCAGTATCATAGAGCGCCCTAACAAACACCAACAATAAAAGTCACGATGTGTAGCCTTGACACTAACGGCAACTGAACACTTATTGCGCGAAAATAGCCACACAGGGGGTTGCCATGGTGGCGTGTCGTGCTGGGGTTTCCAGGTGTTGGGGATAAATTGATTGAGTGTAACACGACAGGACTCGTTCTCTTGTCACCAAACAAAACTCTCGGATAATATGAGGGATTGGGGGGTGGGGGTGGCGGAGGGTTTGGAGGGAGGAGGAGGGTTGTTGGAGGGAGGTGTGGTGTTGGAGTTGGAGAGTGAAGGGTGGTGATG